CTGACCCAGGAGAGGGGTCTGACCCAGGAGAGGGACCCCCCTGGAGAGGGACCTGACTCTGGAGAGGGATCTGACCCAGGAGAGGGGTCTGACCCAGGAGAGGGATCTGACCCTGGAGAGGGACCTGACTCTGGAGAGGGAACACCCTGGAGAGGGACCTGACTCTGGAGAGGGATCTGACCCAGGAGAGGGGTCTGACCCAGGAGAGGGATCTGACCCTGGAGAGGTATCTGACCCTGGTGAGGGAACACATATTTTAGTTTTTTTGTGCTTGGGGCAAGCTGTTGGTCCTGAAGATAATGACTGCCACCAAAGGGAAAACTAAATATATAAGAATTCAAATAAAACCAGAAAACAACACAACCTGGAAATGAAACCATGAAAACTCAAAAAGAAAAGTTTAACAGAACCAAAAATTAAGATACCATGACAACAGCTAAATTTATAAAATTTTACTGAGACTAAAATTCTGAGTTGGTCTTTCAGTGGCTTCATCTGGTCGAGAAACATGGTAAAACAGAAAAGGCTTGTTTTAAAGTTGTTGCTTATCATTTCATTGTTAGCTTTGCATTTCTAATTACAGGATGTTTTTTGATTTACTTAGCCGAGAATAGATTTTAATTGAAGTGAGCAAGCTTAGAAACTGTTTATTGTATTATTGCCATTTTAACTAACTATGAGAGCCTCAGAAAAATATCACTGCATTGGAAAATGTGATGTAATACAGTCCGGTGTTGTCCATTTAACAATGAGGTCATGCATTTTAAAGCAACGCTATGCAAAATGTGCTTTTAGGGGAGCTAGACCTTTGAATTACAGCTTTAGCCCCCTGAAGACCACAGGAACACTGTACTGTCACAAAATGATCAGATTCCATATTTATAAAGCAGACCACTTTGGACCTGCAGATGAGAAGCTATGGAGTTGCTTGTATATTTAAGGCCACATCCACTCCTCTAGATTAAATCCTGCATCTGAAAACCCAAAATATGCCTTATTGGGTACGAATAATCTATGCCTTTTTGGCAGTCAACAACTTTTAGCTTCCTCAGCTCTCGTTTTTAAGGCGAGCTCAGGTAAATCTACGCTCTTGATCACATGCCTCATTCAGTGAAAGATCCTGCTGTCATTGTACAGAGGTACATTTTTGAGAAGAGCAACCCCCATGGGGCATAAATAATAACTAATCAAGTGCTGAACAAAGTTACATGGTGATGCTTTATAAAAAATGCATGAAGTAAGTTGTTTTAGAATAAAAAGACCGCGAGGACTGCTAAGATATTTTTTTTGTTGCTTTTATAATTGTTGCAATAATAATAACACATCTTGATAAATTTAAGCTAATATTAAACATACCGAATGAGAATGAAGAAATTATATTTTTTAAAAACAAAGCATAGGCAGCTAAAGAACGTCAATTTGTTAAAAAAAATAAAAAATAAAAAAACAAACAAAGAAGTTATAATATTAATCTTAATCATATTTATTTATTTTACTTGAAGTTACTAAAAGTGTTTGTGTTTTTAGCTGAGGAATGAAATCTGCCAATTTTTTCAAAATCCCTTTTTAATCTTGGAATCATTTGAATGAAAAAGCAGCTATAGTAACAAGAGGGCACACAGTGTGACGCAGTCTCACCACCACGGTTTTATTGTCTGTATGACCCAGAAAGAGAGAGTCTGATGAGCAGGCCAGAAGAAGGGAGAGTGGTTTCATGAGATGGAAAAAACTATATATACTTATTTATACATATAAGATGCTTTAATTATGTACATTTTTTTATAAGAATATTTTCATTTCTTAATTATTTGATTCATATTTTTATTGTATTTGTAGTTATTAATTAATACATAGAATTATTTAGTTGCATGGATTTAGGTTTATTTGAATATTGGATATTTAAATCCTATATTAAATAAATACATAGCTATGAAATTGGTTTATTTCACTGTAAATTTATTTAATTAGTTGGACATTCATATTTTTGTATTTTAATTAGTATTGGCTCTCCATTAATCTCATGGAATGCTGAAAAGCATCCCCAGACCCAACAATGGAAATCTATGCTCTTAAGTGTATTTTATTGTGCTTTATCTTGTCTAGACTGTTTAGTTTGTAATTGATAACAATAATACTAATGTTTTTAATTTGTGGAATTTCATTTTTTTTTTTTTTTTTGCAGGTAAAAAGCTAATTTAATTGTTTCCAACTGCTCACAGTCTTTATGTGCAGTCTCAGTTCTTATGGTTTATATTCAGTTTATTGTTTTCCACCGACAGCATCAGCTTGCACATTGAAATCTGAAAATGGATCTTTCTGTTGTCTCTAGGTCAGTACACGGTGATGATGGCTCACTTTTACCTGAAGAGGAAGATAGGTTATTTTGTCATCCAGACCTACATGCCATGCTTCATGACCGTGATCCTGTCACAGGTTTCCTTTTGGCTGAACCGTGAGTCTGTCCCAGCAAGAACCGTCTTTGGTGAGTCTGGAAGATCCAGGTGCATCAAGCAATGAAAAGATTCAAGCATTTTAACCGAAGCACAACCTGTAGAAATATTCTTACAGAGAGATGTTTAATCATGTGATTAGTTGCTGAATATTTCTCGGTTTTGTTTTGTTTTTCCTCCTGCATGCTGCTGCATGATCTGTTTATAATACCCTGCTACACGACCCGCTTTTTTCCATGACTTAATCTGCTGTAATAAAAACAGAATTGCAAGTCTGATGACAAAGATTGACCCAGTTTCTTCTCACTGCCAGGTGTGACCACAGTGCTCACCATGACCACTCTCAGCATCAGTGCTCGAAACTCCCTACCCAAAGTGGCGTATGCCACTGCCATGGACTGGTTCATTGCAGTGTGCTATGCCTTTGTCTTCTCAGCGCTCATTGAATTTGCCACAGTGAATTATTTCACCAAAAGGAGTTGGGCCTGGGATGGGAAAAAAGCAATGGAGGCTCAACATCCCAAGGTATGCAGACTGTATGTCGCATTGATATATGGAGATTCCTGAAGCTGTTGCAAAGTTTATTGAGAAGTTGCTGAGCCATTGGAAATGAAGCAGCATCATCATTTATTAGAATTTATTTTAGTGGATTTCAGTGTCTCTGCAAAATTGCTTAAGAAAACTTAGAGTAATTCAATTAAATTCGGTTTATTTCTATAGCACCAATACATAACATGTCATCTCTAGGCTCTTTACAGTTCACCAGATCATACAGTCACATTTGATTGCTTTGACTCATTGACTCAAAGGCAATTCCTCACACTAAGCATGCTTGTAGCGACAGTGGAGAGGAAAAACTCCCTTTTAACAGAAAGAAACCTCCAACAGAACCAGGCTTAGTGTGAGCGGCCATCTGCTGAGGCCGACTGGGGTTCAAGGAGACAGAAGCAGAGATACAAATGGCAACTGTAAAATGCGGCCCCGTCCAGGAAACACACAGCCAGGCAGACGAGCTCCGGGCCAGCTCCCATGTCAGAGGATTAAGAGAGTACATCCAGCCAGTCACAGTCAGAGAAACAGGACTGCGTTGAAAAACAGGCTGATCTTGATCATTGATAAACAAAGGTGTTGATGGAAGCAGGACAGCATATATTTCTTTCCAGGTTGGAATCACAGCCAAACAGGAACAGACAAGGCGAAGCTACTATGAGAAAAAGCAGAGAGAGCAGAACGTTAGAGATTGAACTAACAGATTCTGCAGACTGGGACAATAGAGATAGAATGAACCAGAATAATAAAAAAGGGGTCCCTATGTCCTCCAGTAGTCTAAGCCTATAGCAGTAACTCCCCTTTCAAGGGTTAGATTTCATTGTTCTTGGTCCTGCAAAGGTTTTTTATACCCAGAGAACCTCTCCAATATTGATAGCATTGCAGTCACAATCGTTCAATATTTTTATTTTCTTTTGTAAAGAAATACAATGTTGTGCATAATAGTTAAGTGCAAAAAAAAAAGAAACAACAGTTTACTGTAATTCTTTATTTTAGGTGTCAACATTTTGTTTCCCTTTTATTACCTTAGTTTGTATAATCAATATTTGTGTTATGAAATGATCAGCAGTTTTAGTTTTTAAAATCCATTTTTGTTTCTTCCACTGCAGAAGAGAGACCCATTAGCTCTGTCAAAGAAGCCCAACAACACCTGCTCAGCCGGTGTAAATTATACAACCAACCTCACCAAGGATGCATCCATCTCCACCATTTCAAACAGCACGACTATTCAGCTCAAACCGTCCGAAAGCAAGGCCCCAGACCCCAAAAAGACTTACAACAGCGTGAGCAAGATCGACAAGATGTCCAGGATTGTGTTCCCTGTGCTTTTTGGGACCTTCAACCTGGTGTACTGGGCTACGTATCTCAACAGGGAACAAATGATAAAAGAAGCCGAGTGAGTTCTAAGCTGGGGGCCGCAGACAAAACGAACTTAATGAAAAATGTTAATGCCAAGCACTTTGTCCTTGTATCATAGTTGTGTTCTTTTAAGATATTAACAAATTATTGCATGTGTGTTGCTTCTGGTAAGTGCTGCCATGTTTGCCTTGAGTTAGTCCATCTATGATTACAAACCTAAAATATTAACTTATTACTACTCACTCAGATTTTTTTTTCTATTTTAGCATTTGGCATTTTCTATGCTCTCCTTTAGTTTTTAGTTGGAAATGGAAGTGCAAGGCCAAATGCTATGCAAAGAAAAATTTGTACTGTATCATTGAAAATCGCCTTTTATCTTTTTAAGTCTGTAAATATTACACGAGGTCCACGAATGTGAAATTGGACCAAATGTAACTTTGCTTTCTTGTTAAAAGCAGATAAATAGCCATGCTAATTGTGTTGCCTTCAGAGTACGATAACTCATTATGAATGCACTGAACTCTGCACTCCTGCAACACCATCTTTCTGAAGGTCATGTTCAGAAAGTTAACTTAGTGGACTCTATTTGTTCAATTTTGCTACTTTTCAATTGATGGTAGCTTGATATTAATTAAGCTTTATTGAAATGAAAGATCTAAGAGGGAAGCATTTAAAGCTTAAGTTATG